GAAATGATAACATCATAAGCACATTCTCTTGCCACAAATTAATTAATTAAGAATTCAGTTAACAAAAATGCAAAGTTTGTCTATGCATTTGGGAATTTAAAAGTTCACTTTCAAGTAATTCTGGATCAAAGAAGAAATCATAATGGAAAAATTTTAAATATCTTATATTGAACAATAATAAAAATACCATTTTTCACAATTTGTGGAATTTAGCTTCTTAGAGGGAAATTATACTTTCACATTTTTTTAAGTCTGTTGACATAAAATGTTAAAAATTAGTAGAATAAATATAATATTAATAAAATAACAAACAAATCTAGAATCTCAACAAAGCCAAAAATAGATTCTTTCTAAAAGATGAATATAGTACAGTTGACCTTTGAACATCACAGGTATAAACTGCACGGATCCACTTATACATGGATTTTCTTGTGCGTCTGCCACCCAAAACAGCAAGACAAACCCCTCCCCTTCCTCTTCTTCCTCAGCCTACTCTACTATTATGATGATTCAATTCTACTTAATGAATGGTAAATATATTTTCTCTTCCTTACGATTTTCTTAATAACATTTTCTATTCTCTAGCTTACTTTATTATTAGAATACAGTATATAATACATATAAGATACAAAACATTTGTTAATCAACTATTTATGTTATCAGTAAGGCTTCCAGTCAACAGCAGGCTATTATTAATTAAATTTGGGAGGAGTCAAAAGTTATATGTGGATATTTGACTACACAGGGGGTCATTCCCCCTAATCCCTGCATTGTTCAAGGGTTAAATATACATAAAACTCTGACAAGATTTAGCTACAGAAAAGAAGCAAAACAAAAGTAAACAATATGAAGAACGAAAAAGGGGTATGAAGCTACAGTTATAGCAGAAACTAAAAAGATAGTAAAAGAGTATGAACAAATTTATGCCAATAAATTTGAAAATTTAAATACAGGGCAAGAAAAATGTACAGCAAATTGACTCAAAATAGAAGATTTGAATGAATTTATAACCATCAAAAAAATCGAATCAGTAGTTTAAAATCTTCCCACAAGGTAAATACAATGTCCAGGCAGTTTTACAGAAAGGTTTTATCAAACATTCATAGAACAAGGCCGGGCGCGGTAGCTCACGCCTGTAATCCTGGCACTCTGGGAGGCCGAGGCGGGTGGATTGTTTGAGCTCAGGAGTTCGAAACCAGCCTGAGCAAGAGCGAGACCCCGTCTCTACTAAAAATAGAAAGAAATTAATCGGATAACTAAAGAAATATATAGAAAAAAATTAGCCGGACATGGTGGCTCATGCTTGTAGTCCCAGCTACTTGGGAGGCTGAGGCAGAAGGATTGCTTGAGCCCAGGAGTTTGAGGTTGCTGTGAGCTAGGCTGACGCCACGGCACTCACTCTAGCCCGAGCAAAAAGAGTGAGACTTTTTTTCCCCCCCCAAAAAAAAAACCATTCATAGAACAGATCATTCCAATCTTACACAAAAAAAGAGGACCATACAATTCATTTTATGGGACTGGTCTTACCTTGATACAAGTTTTCCTTTAAGAAAAGAAAATTATAGGCCAATCTCACTGACAATATAAATGTAAAATTCTACACAAAGTATTAGTAGATTGAATCTAGCAAGGTAAAAAAAAAATCACCAAGATATTTTTATTCTAAAATGCAAAGTTACTATGGTAGAAGCTCTATTTAAGATTTATGTAATTAAAGTGAAGAGATTAAAGAATAATACTGTAATCTCAGTAAATGCATAAATTATATTCCACTAAAGTCAATAACCATTGGTGGTAAAAAAAAAAATTAGCAAACTAGGAATAAAAAGGAATATCCTCCTTGATAAAGAGTATCTATAAAAAATGTACAGTAAACATTGTGTTCAATAGAGAAATATTAAAACCATTCCCTTTAGAATCAGAAATGAGACAAGGATGACCGTTATCACCATTTCTACTTAACATTGCACTAGGAACTGCTACCAACACAATAAAGCAAGAAAAAAGAAATAACAATAAAGCAAGAAAAAAGAAGTAACAGGCAAAAAGATTATGTTCAAGTTTGAATTTATAACATCACCATGACTTGACGTAAAAAAGTATTTTTAACCTTATTAGTAGGTACACATTTATTGATAATACCTAACTACTTGCCTGTTCAGAATTTAGCTTTATCTAAACAGTAAGAGAAGTAAAATGGCAAATAAACATATGAAAAAAATGTTTACATTTACATCAACCTCAGAAGTAATCCAACCAAATGAAAATCACAACAAAGATGATATATCAAACATACCCAATTATCAAAAATGGAAAAGTGAGAACAACAGTTATAAGAATGGGCAGATATGGGAACTCTCACACATCAGTGGAGGAAAAACAGTTGGCATTATCTGGTAAAGGTGAACATACTACATGTTTTATTCCTGAAGAATCTCTTGAACATGTGCATCAGCTGACATACAAGAGTTTTCACAGTAGCCTTGGTTTTAGTAGCAAATTTTCTTTTAAAACATCAAAACTGGAAAGAACCCAAATGTCTATCAACAGTTAACTGGATAAACACATGTATAAATGTAATAATATATATTAGAGAAAATAAATCAGTTGCAGCTATACATCAACAATGATGAATGATGAAACATATCTACAGTAGACTAAATTTCATATATTTCTTATGTTTTAGAAATACAGACATTTGTTAAAACCATTAAGCAAGGAAATTTTTAACATAAATTAATGATAGTTGTTTTCTCTGGAATATAGCAAGAGGGCACATGAACTTCTTACTGGTAATATTCCATTTCTTAAGCTATACATTAATTTCAATAGAATATGCTACTTCAGGTGGTACTGAATTTCCCATCACAGATCTCATGCATGTGAGATATTTAGAGAGAGAGAATATAAATATCACATAAGGAATTGGAATTGATTACCCCCACAACTATTTAACAAGATTTCACAATTCTATATCCACCATAATAAACAGCACAATGCGTTGCACATAAAAACAAATAATAACACTAATTGAATGCTGACTTTGGCAGATATTGTTGTTTGCTAACCAACATCCTTTCTTATTCTTCCTTGATAACAGATTCCAATTTTGTTCTGCCATCTATCCTTCTCCCATGTGACTCAGGGTGGGTATCCCAGCTTGAGGGACATCTTTTATTTAATCTAAACTAATCCTATAGTACATTGGTGTGGGGGTAAACATGTGATCCTGTTTTGTCCAAAGAGACATGAGGTAGAGTCTATGCACCTGGGAAAGGTTGCCTCGCTCCTACACAAAAGACCCAGAAATAGATATTCTTTCCTGGTGGTGTCATGCATGGATGCTGCTGCCACGATGCAACCATGAGAAAGATTAGCCTCAAAACTAAGCCCACTGATCCATGATGACAACGCTGAGACAATGAATTAAAGCTGGAGCCCCTCACTTTTTGACTCGTTGGCAAATATTAATAATATGTCACCTTATTGTTTATATTTTCATATTGTTTGTATTTTCCCATTGAAGCCATATTAACTGACGCACTTAACCACGTACACAGGGTTTGCTCATTTAATCTTTACAGCAGTTCAGTAAGTACCATTATTATGTCCATTTTATAGACAATAAAACTTAGGAGAATGAAAGTAAGTTACTCAAAGTCACACATACACTGAGTGGCAAATTCTGGCGTGTCTGATGCCAAAACCCACGCTGTTAACCACCTATGCTGCATATTATTAACTGACATTCAGCGTTCATTCCCATGCCTTCAGGCTCCCCTGTATCTAAGAGCTGGTTTCCCAAATTCCCCTGCAGTTAAAGTTCTAAATTCGGTTCAGCTTCTGTCCATGAGGAGAACTCATGTGGAACTTGGAAGCCAGAGGGAAAGTAAAGGGCCTCTCCCTGTGACCAGGAGGGCCAAAAAGAACATGTCAGTAGATACGAGAGCTTCTGGTGAGCCCCATGTTCCATCATCTTGTCATGTGCTTTCAGAGTGTGAATGGCAGCAGCGGTGGTGGCAGCCAAAGCAGCTTCTTGACCTCTGAATTGTCGCTGTGATTATTTGACCTTGAAATCAGTAGTCCAGAGGCAGCCTCCAAACTGTACTCCTTCAGACTTACCAAGAATTTAACCTCTTTTATTAAATCATGTCCCTCTTAGAAGCACCTAAAATTACTATCATTTCCTGAACTGATAAATCCTGAATTCAATAAATAAGTAAACAAGTACCATTTTGATTGACTTATATTCTTCTAAAGCCCCCAGACAAATAGTTCTATAGCCCACGTGTAATGCAGTTTTATCTTTAGGACATCCTCAGTCAAACGACTTGTTCATCTTCTTTCTTAAACAAAGACAAACTGCTTACTAAACTTTTAAGCAAATACACTAATATACACTAAGAGGCTCTTTCTCCTACCTTCCCTTGGCGAGTGGGAACTTAAAACTGTAGACCAGTGACTAACATCCTTCATGGAACATCTCACCTAGCCCCTTAGATGATATATTTTTGCAAACTTTTACCAAGAGCATAATGCATTCTCCTAAGGTTTAGGCCTGTTCTATATTTCAAAAAAAGTAGACTTTTTTGAAAGAGAAAGAAACATATTGATTCTCTAGGATATTTACAAAATAGGTATTTTCAAAAGGAAGAAGTATTCTAACTCATGAAAACATAATACATCCCTTAATATAATTAAACACCATATCAGAAAGTGTAACCTCACATTAAAGAACTGGATCTTATCACCAAAAAGACCTGAGTTCATATCCCAGTTGAGTCACATAGAGCTGACTGACATTGAGGAAGTCCTTGGGTTCTCTGAGCTTCAGTTCATTCACCCTTAGAAATGTGATGTTTATAACTATCTCCAAAGTTTGTTGTAACATTTAAAAAAAGATCCCATAGGTGAAAATGTCCACTATGAGACATGGTGCATAACAAGCACTAAATAAATGTTAAGTTTTCTCTTATTTCTTAACTATGTTATGGAACAACTCTATTTCCTTCAAAAACTGGTGATAAAGTTCTATGAAGTAGAAATTCTACATTCTACTAATACATAAAATCATATGAAAAGTTTCCAAAAGATTAAGTCAAAAATTTTGTGCAGAAAAGTCACAATTTATCCTGAGACAAATAAGAAGTGGTAGCCCACCAGGTCAACTCCCCCTTGAAATTTTTCAGTATTTTGATCACTCTGACTACCCCCGATCTGTCATCACTCTTCATTCTACGATATTTTGGCTACTCCAACAAACACAAAGCTAGAGTAGGGAAACCCATATAAATAGTCTACATTGCTGCAAATTAAAAAACAACTAAATAAAACACTAGACAGGCATTTCAGAACCTTTATGTGTTATCCATAGATACTGGTACAAATCTTTTATCTAAGCATTACCACTAAAATGGTATTTAAAAATTTTTTAAATGGTCATATATATTTAGTGAAATGTGAAAACATCAACTATTATAATTAACCCACTAAAACTGAAACCAGTACAAAAGACAAGATCACCACCTCAAGATGTTTGGTATTTTCATGTTGACAATAAAGCATGTTGCCTTTCCATTTAGATATATTTATATGTATGACATAAGGATATGCCATAATGATAGAGAGGATTCAGGCTGGCAAATAGTAGCCACAGTGAAAGGTGATAAAAATTCACCCCTCTCCACAGGTCTCAGCTTAGTGTCCATTCCTTTCTTCTCCCACTACTCCCTCCTACAGTCCTGACTCCTGGATTATAGGATTTACAACAGAAATGAGAAAGAGTGAAAAACTAGACAGATGAGGTAAGAAGTGGTAGCAATTGACCAGAATTAACCTAAGTGCAGGTGATGGAGTTAATTGACTTGGCAAATGAAAATGTTATGCTCTGTTGCTCAGAAGAAAATTTTCGTCATGAATAATTCTGATTGCAGAGCACATGGTTACATATCTGACTTAGAAGATATCATTTGGATTATTTAGAAATAGATCTTGAAAACAAACCTCAATTGGCTCTTCACCGCCTTTTACTTGATTTTCACCCATTTCTCCATTCTCATAGCTGCTGCTCTTCTCGACCCATAACTCAGACTTTTCTACAGTCAGTCGGAGCTGGTCTAGATCTGCCTTGATCTGCTTATAGTTATCTACGTCTTGATTGGACACCAGTAATTGCACCTGAAAACAAAAGAATTTCAACTCTTAACTTAGTATGAAACTTCATTTATTCCTGTTTTCTTTATGTTGAAAATTCTTAGTCTTTAAATGTATTTATCTCCTAAAGTTTAATATTTTTAGAATATTTATGAATGCCTTAGATGTGTATTGACCATAAAAACTTACCTGTATCTGTGAACTCTAACCAATATACTCACATGTTATTTAAAAAAAATGTTTTTTAAAGTAAGCCCTAGCACAACTTTTCAAAGTGCTAAGGAGTAATTTAAGATAAAACATACCCTAACTCTAATTTCACTGCTGATATTAATTTTTTTGAGACTCTCTCTGATTGAAAAGAGGTAGAAACATAAAAATAAGTGGAAGAAAATATTGATAGATGCAATCTAAACCTCATGATATACCTTTGTATTTTATTATTATTTATAGGTATTATATGGCATATACATACACATGCATAATCATATGTATTTATATGACTATCCTTTTAATTATTTAATATTCTTTAATATATTCCTGCAAAACTTCCTAATAAAGATCAATGCCCTATTAAATAAAATAAATATTATTGTAATATATATATAAGCACTTAGGTATTATTGATCAATAATCTCAAGATTGATGTCTTATTCAAAGATCACAAAGAAAAAGATTAGATCCATCACAGTTCCTTTCTTTAGGATTTATACATTTTTTAATAGCAACATAATTAATCCTTTCAGGGTTGTTGCCTGTCCTACCCAAATTTATCAGTAAAATTTGGGGTCAAAATAAGAGCTGTGGCAACAAAATTCCTACTATGTTATTATCTCCAGTGCCTTCTTAAATTTTAGTGCCTGTCATTTGCATTAAAAATATTGACTGAAAATCACTTGTGGGGAACTCCTTCTAAAATAGATCATGTCTTGGCATAGACAAGGCCACATCTATCTTTAAAAATAGAAAGTCTCCCCAGGAAAAGCCACACAGTCTCATTAACTGCAACCATGAAGTCAGGCTGGATGTTAAAAACAACATTTTCAGGGCTTCTGCTATGGGACCATTGAGGGCTACTCAGTTTTACCTGCTTAAATGCCTGTAAAACTTCCGCTCTCTGGCTGAAGTGCTTGAACAGTAGCTGCAGGGCTCCCGAGAGCAAAGGGGGGTAGTCGTGCATGATCAGATGAATGAGGACCCGCAAAAACGTCCTGCCGCCTTCATCGTCAAGTTGAACTGGGTTTTTTTCCTTTCTGTAAAACCAAAAATAATTCTAAAGTGACCCATATTTATATAACATCTACACTTAAGTGATTGAAATTGTTTATATGTTCTCAGTTATATCACTTGTTTTCTCAAACTAGGAAGTAAAAAGGAAGAAATTTTTACTTTCCCCCCCCTCATGTAACTGATGAGGAAATAATCACAAAGAAAAACTTGTGTTTGCCCATGAAAGCAGGGGTGACCAATCTAGTTTATCCAAGACTGAGGGAGTTCCTAGGCAAATCGGGATGAGTGTGTCACCTAGGCATAAACAAAAGACAGGCATCTGAATCAATCCAAAAGCATTTATTTAGGAGACATCCTAGGCTGGATGTACACTGATTTTCCCCAGAACCCTGGAGACCCCTCCATGACAGAGGGGAGGGGCGGGAAGACACCGTGCAGGTGTGGGAACCATCGCCAGAGCAGCCACGTGTGGGAGGTGTGCTATGACTCTGAGGAAGATCTCATTGGATGAAAGGTCCATCTATTTTAATGTGAAATCATAACTGGTTCACTCTCTTCTCAGGAAGAATATGTCAATAGAAAAAGATAACAACAAAAACTGGAACGACAATATAAACGCAAAACTAAACAAATATTTGCTAAAGTTTAAAATCCTTTTGGTTCCCTTAATTCTCAATTCTTGTCTGTCTAACAACAACAAATGCAACAAAAAGTTTAGTACAGTAGTCCCCTCTTATCCGCAGATTTGCTTTCTGTAGTTTTGGTTACTCAAGGTCAACCATGGTCCAAAATATCAAATAGGAAATTCCAGAAATAAACAATTCATGAGTTTTAAATTGTGCGCCATCCCACTCCATCCCATCCAGGACATGAATCATCCCTCTGTCCAGGTATCCACGCTGTCTGCGCTCCCTGCGCATGAGTCACATAGGAGTCAGTCCTCTCCGTTATCAGATCGACTATCTCTTTATCTCAGTGCTTGTGTTCAAGTAACCCTTATTTCACCTAATAATGGCCCCAAGGCACAAGGATGGTGATGCTGGCACGTTGTTACAACTGTCTTCTTTATTATTAGTCATTGTTGTTAATCTCTTAATATGCCTAATTGATAAATTAAACTGTATCATAGGTATGTACAGGAAAATACACAGTGTATATGTAGGGTTTGGTACTATCCAGGGTTTCAGGCATCCACTGGGGGTCTGGCAACATATCTACTGTAGATGAGGGGGGACCACTGTATACACTTTTTTAGGTTCTCATGTCAAGTCTATAATAAAAATGAACACTAGAAACTAATAATTTGTAGCTTAGGCATTTTACTTTTTTCTTTTCTGATTGCTATTTTCTGAAAAAGAAACGACTTGAAAACAATAAACATAGGGTTCTTAATAGCAAAGGAGGGTAGTCAGGCCAAAGGTATTTTGTTTTCTTTAATTATGGATATTTCCAATTAGCAGAAAATAGCTTTATTGCTCACATATAAATTTAATGACAACGTTAAAGAAGTTACTTTCTTGCCTCAAATATCTAGGATTCAAGGAAGCAACGCTTTACAAGATGCAGTGATATTTATACCAGGGGAGTTAAAGGGCATTCTTGGACTGTCATTATTTGAAGAAAGAAAAGCAGAGAATTCAGGGAAAAGTTCAATACACTGATCTCATTTCTCTTTTGCCTTTTTTTACCTGACCTAAAGAAAACCTTTGCTTTCTCCTCTAGAGTAAATTAGCAGCTCCATTTCTGGCAGAAATTACGTTAGCAAAAATAGAGGGTCTAAAAATAAATAGATATAGGGAAATGAATAACAACAAAGTATCAATAAAATTCTAAGTAAAATCTTATTCCACAAGTAAGATAAAGAAAGATACATAAATGTTACTATACCTTCCAGCAAACATAGTTTCTGCCTGTGCTGCAATTTCATCTATATCAGGAACAATAGCTGCAAAGACAAACGGTAAAATCTATTCTTTATCTTATCTTAATTAGGAGCCACGATATTCGTAGTTGCTTACTTGAAAATATTTTTGTCTTAATTCCTTGACTCTACCAATTTAATTAACAGTTAAAAAAAAATCACAACATAGTTCCACTTAGACAGAAATGTATATTTCTCAATGTAAACTATGTCTTAAACTAATGTATTGCTTTAGTCAAAGATATATTTAAAAATTCAGAAAGCACCATTTAAAAAGGGCCTGTTATCTGTATAACTATATGTATATATACATTAAATTATACATATAATTTAAATGAGTAACAACAGAGAAAAATAATTTTTTAAAGAATCAAAATATACATACAATCAGCCTTGTTGCTAAATGCTGTTTCCAACCAACATGGTCTTTTTACCTAACTTTAATATGACTAAAACTCCATCCCTTTTCCTTGTGGGACAGGGTGTTTTTTCCTATGTAAACCGATCATGATTCCTTACCGTCCTCCACCACTAACATTTTAAAGACACCTTTCTTAAGATAACATGTTTAAATGATAAATGCACTATTTATTTCTCATCTCTAAAGCATAAAAAGAAAACAGGGCAAGACATAAAAAGGGAAAAACAGTTTTCCCTGGAAAGCTATCCTTTACAGGTACAAACAATGAAAAGAGAGCAGGTAAACCAGAGAGAAAGCGTTTTCTGGGGTGCTCCTAGACTTTCTCTCAGCTACTTTACTGACACTTAAAGCTCATGTTTCCAGAAGTCTGGCTTCTGGGAGCCAATAATTTTTATGCTACTGTCAACGCAACCCGCCAGCAAGACTTTCTGGTTCTGCCATATCATTCCTGGAAATAGCCCTTTGGGGTTCTACACTTCTGGGAAGCAGAAAAACAACATTGTTGCAAATGTGCCAGAAGTGACTTCTCGCTTAGGCAAGCTGAACTCCATCTCTAGAGGCACGCTGCCTTCTGGATGGTACTAATGATTCAGACAGCGGGACATTTGGTCTAGCAACCATTTTAACTACACGCTCACAATCACTGCTTCGTTCCTAATTGATTGATGGACAAAGAAGAGGAGAGTTCCTAAGGTTGTCACAGTGGTTGTGGTTAGAAGAAAGTTTCACATCTGTGTAGAAATCCTATCCTCAGAAAAAGAATTCTGTTCACCGGCTAAATTTTGAATAAGATGAAGTTTCCAACCTGCCACGACTGGCCTGACCTATCCAGGAAAGTGGTAATTTAATTTTTTTTTTTTTGGTTTTCCAAAAGTCCTTCCTATAGTCACAAAATTTTTACAATCATTTGTGTGCTCTTTTGTTGTTATGCTCCAACACTCGGAGATAGAGTGGCTTCATTCTCATACCTTTAGATGTGAAAATTGAAATACAATTCTAGTTTATAACCATACAAAATAAAACACACACACACACACAAAATGAAACCAACAACACATATAGTAGGCCTTTGGGAAATGCTATGCCTTTATTCTTGGATCAGGTGATGGCTTCCCTACAAAATACTCTTCCTTCTGACAACTGCATCTCACACACTGCTCTTTGATTCACGCAGAAAAATTTCTCTTGGATTTTCACCAAAACAGCATAATGCTTAATAGATTTAGACTCATTAGTTGGAGATACCTCAGAGGGAATCCCTGTTCCTTTGCTTGCTAGGAACTAATGGTCTAATGACCATTAGCAAGTAACTTAACTCCTCTGACCTTGGTTTTCTCATTTGTAAAATGGCACAATAAACAGTATCTCAACCTCACAGAGTTGTGAAGATTACAAAGGAAAAAGCATTCACGGGACTTAGCACCAAACAACAGCAAACATCCTCCCCACCATTCTAGGCGAGTTTTTCAATGCTCTGTCTCAGTTCTTTCACATCTTTAGTGGAGATTATGTCTCCATTTTTGTCTCATAAAAATATGATTATGTTTTAAAATATGAAAGGTACTTTCAACTTCTCAGAAAAAAAAAATACAAAGAGTAAATATTATCACCTGATGGTAGTAAAGTATCTGGAGAGCCGTTGGCAGACGTCTCAGTATTTTCACTGTCCTCGCCAAACTCCTTCTTATATATTGACAGCATATATGAGATCCTATAATCTAGTCTGACACTCAGGATAAACTGTAAGAAACATTAAAAACAACATAATTTTCTTTGATGAGCACAGTTTTCTAAATGGCAATTCGTTACACATGACACCAAGCGCAATGTAGCTATCAACATTTCAATGAACTAGTTAGAAACTTTATTTGTAAACCCTAACACTTCAGTTGCCTATATGTTTATCAGCCTTATGACTAAGGAAAGGATGCGTTTCCATTAGCCAATGTCAGGAAAATCTCAAAGCAATTTTTGTAAAGAAAATCTGACTCCCTGTGATTGCTCTCTGAATGTTCCAGGTAGAGGTATTACGTGGGTCTGTGTGTAGAGACGATCATCATGGAATTTCGCTGAGCACTTTGCAGAGCTACCATTGGCTCTGGGAGGAGACTGATGGAGCTGTGACCCTCATTCTTACACAGAAAGGCCAAGAAATCAGCTACAACAGTACTGACTCCAGCTATATCACGATCAGTCCTGGAGCCAGGCTCTAAGGGGATAGCTGAAATAATAGCAACTATACACCACTGAGTTTCCTCATTGGTGTTTGTGTTTCCTTAGGTTTGTGCTCTTGTCGCTGTTCTCATCAACTGACACATGGACATAAACTACAGATCCAGTACTCTGCTAGGCACCACAGGGAATGCAAACACTTCAAGCCCACTGCCCTCAAGAAGCCAATAATTGAGATGGGAAACAAAATATAGCATTGTTAACATAATCAGGAAATTATTGAGGGCTAAATCACGTGTTCTAAATTTAAAGGAGATCAGAGGAGGAAAAACCGGAATGTGCTACAGATCAGAGGTGTGGTTTTTACATAGCTCCTTCCACCCCAGTTTGCCTGGCAGAGGCCCAGTTTAGCCTTTTGTGTCAGCGTAAATACTAACTGCAACCCCTACATTCTCAAATGACTCATTTGACAGTAAGCAACACGGTCTCCCTAGTTTTAGGGAAATTGGCATTACATGGCATCTAAAACACTTATTAACTTTTCGTTGAAGATGAGGAAACATAAAGTTGTATTCCATAAATATAACCAAAATAAAAACTTTTACTCTCTAATATGCCCAATTATGAGAAACAAATGGGAAGTAAATGGAAAGGAGGAAAGGGAAGGATCAAAACTAGGGCAGAAAGAGTTGGGAGAGGGCCAGAGAGAGAGGGAAATAAAAAGAGAGACTGAAAGAGACACACAAAGTGATAGGAATGAGAGAAGAAGACCCAGAAAGAGAAGAGCTGGCAGCAAGCAGAAGACCTGCCAAGGAGCGTGGCTACAAAGAAATTCTTGAAGAGATGTTCCAAGAAAGAAAAATATCCAAGAGCAGCACACGGGCACGGTGAAGCTGACCCAGACACGGGGACTCAAAAATCAGAGCGCAAACAGAGGTTCAAGGAGAATATATAAAGATCCCAAAAGAGGCAGCAAAAACGAATCAGCCCTAGACTGCTGTGCCACAGAATCTCCATCTCATCATTTCTTAGCTGTTTGAGTTTTTTTTTTTTTTAATTCTCCTTTGCTGTAACTGTGGGCTAAAATAAGGTCATGTATTTTAGAGGTTGTCCCATGGGTAGGATGATGTTAAGCTGGGGGCTTGTTAGGTCCGCGGGTCAGGTGACTGCTACCTTTCTCAGTTTAAGAGGAGGAAAACTTAAAGTGATTTTTCAGGGTCATGAACACAGTGTTGGGACGCCTGCCAATATTTGTCAGGATTCAGCCTTTGTAATTCCTAGAGGAACTGTGAAACCTTTTATGATTATAAATCTAATTACTTTAAATGAAAAATGTACAGACCTTTCCAGGACTACTAACCCACTTCTGGTAGCTCAGTATACATTAAATTATGATGAAAGACACAGTAAACTGTATCCAGAATTTCAATAGATACTTGAAAACTCCAAACTCCATTCTCCAAATCTGGAATAAATACTATAATTAAGGTATCATAAAACTGCCTTCTAAACTTAAAAAAAAAAGCATTAAGAATTCACAGCTACAGTAATGAAAAGTTTATCCAATAAACCAGTGGGCATGAAACAATAATTTATCTCCTTTAAATTCACAGATCCAGGTATTAGACTAGGTTATATTTTTAAATTATTCCTAGTCTCCTGGAAACAAAAACACAAAGAGAGATAGTCACATATAAAATACTAAAACCAATGATTAACAATGTTTTAAATAATAAATAAAATTTTATTTGAGTTTTTTGCTATAACAATAAATCTGGATATATGGAATCATATGTGCGATTCCATTAAAAATAGGAAAATGAGTTGGAATTTAATCATTAACTTTACCTGCTCTGAAATCCTTCCTAAATGAAGGTAAAATTCAATCAGGGTCAATATTAAATGAAAAAAAATACATATGAAAGCAGTTCTATCAACCTCAAATCACCCCACATTTGTTAGATATTATCATTAGTGTATTTAATGAAAATGAATAACTGTGATTTATATGTTAATAGTGTCTGTGTGAGATTTCTTACAAGGCTTGCCACTAACTTTAAAGAAACAAAATTAGATCAATAGTATTTCAGAATATTTACTTAGTGATTTGGGACAAAACGTGTAAGAACTTAAATCAACAAGCAAAATCACGTCATTGTCACTTAGTGTCTGTTGTGCAACGCACCTGCAAAATCTCAATAATCTTCAGCTTAGTGTCCATCACGGTCACATCCTCGTGCTCAGCGGGGCTGCCTTGCTTGCTTGGGAGGATGCTGGGCTGTACGTCCGGCACGCTCATGGGGAAGATGGAGCCTCTACTGAGCACCATCTGGGTCATCATCTCACCCACCCCGTGGATGGTCCTCATGACATTGTTCCCTGCCGTGAGAAAAGACCATCAGTCGACCCACACAACACTTGGAGAAACATAGCTGTACTATTCAGCTAGTCACAACCAGACTGAAAACAAGACAGGCAAAGTATTAAAGAGAGGAAAGAATAGCATCAGCACTGCTCTGGTTCTTTCTCTGTACATAAACTTAAGACATTGCGGACACATTCCAAGATGGCAGATTTTAAAATGGAAGTTTACTTCCATAGTATGTGCCACCAACTATCACACCAATAGGCCCTAACTTTTACAATAATGCAAATGAAAGGTTATTAATCGCCAAGATATAGTGAGTTGCAAGTGGGTATACAAAGATTGCATGAAAACACAGAGGTGCTGAATTCCAGCATTGTAATCCTATCCTCTAACCAAGGACTTTTTAGCTTTCCTTTCACAAGACTTGTAAAAAGAGCTTGTGAGGAGGATCCTTACAACTTTACATTGCGAAAAAGAAAGTCTCATCTGTGGAAGAAGTATGTATTAGCCAATATGCTCACTATTATTTCATCCAACTTGAATAGAAAACCATAATTCCAAATCCACCAAAAGCAATAATGTTTGAGGTAATTACAAAAACAAGCTAGTGACAAACATGATCATTTTCAAGCAGGGATCACTTCTGTGTCTTCTCTTGAGTTTGGCTTCTCGGTTGCGGATAAAATTGCACGATCCTTACACGGACCACAAATAGCTGTATCAAAGGATCCTCCTAACACTACAGCAATGTGCGGACTCCGGCCTGACTGCTGTTTCTCACTTCTAAGTTCCTACAATAAACAACAAAGATCCCAAAGCATTATTATCTACTTTCCTCTCTCAACAGAGGTCTTTGCATCGTGGGTGTTCCTGAAGCTTTGCCTCAGGCAAAGGCCTAAGAATCTGGCAAAAAATGTTCCTTTCCCTAAGTGAGTCAGGGCGTAAACCAAGAGAAAGGGAAATGGAAATAAGCTGGGATGAGATAAAACTCTCAGCTCTATGAGAAGAATATAAACTGCGGGAATACCTACAGGATGCAAAGGCAAACAAATAAAGAAAAAGAAAATATTTAAAAGATGACTCAAGAGAATCTGGATGGTCCCGACCAGAATTACCATCAAGCCACTGGTAACTACTATTATTTACACATTGTATTGCACAAAAGATGAAATGCTCTTTAAAATTCATTATCTTATCTATACAGAATCCTAATCAGTATAAGTAAAGAGGATGGTGCTCCAACAGTACAAATCTCAGAGAACACAAAAAAGTAACACTTTTTTTCTAAAGCAGCATATTCTAGGCAGAAATTCACTTGAGTTTTCATTTGGAAGGTCTGAGACCTTTTATTTTATTGCTACATGCATAAGCCAAACAAGAGGATAAGAAAAAATATATACATCAAGGTAATTTTCAAGTTTAGACAAAGTTGAGGCAAAAGGATTTGAGACAGACCCCTTTCTTCTATCAGAACAACCTCGAGGCAGAATGCTTCATCGTCTGTGGTTCTCCAACAATCAGAGCAATAGAGTATATCCAAATCCCTCCCACTGTTTGTTACACCGATTGCAGGGTTGCACATCTGGTTGTTGGCAATGATTTTGAGCTGTCGAAGTTCAACCAGTACATTTATCCAAGGCTTGATTTGAGTATGTGTATGTGTTAGCCTCCAAAAGATGCTTTCTCACCACTAACACGGAACAGCCTCGTTTGTTATTCTTACCCCTGATTCGCACAGAAATCCTTGGCACCCGCGGTGTCTGCATCTTATTTAGATTTGCATGGAAAATAATCATGTAATCCAAATGATTCTTACACAGAAAGTTAGCCCAGACAATTCTTTTCCCCAAATATAGATCCTGTCACCAAGAAATTAAAATCTAGAGGCCAGAACCATAATAGCATGTAACACATGTTGTCAATGAAACCGAGGGGTTCATCTGTTTGTACCACATCCTCAGATGCCTGTGGCATGTGGTCGTCACAAAACTGTCCTGACATTTCCATGTATGGCCAACTCAGAGGGCTCAAATTAAAAGGTGCTATATTTTCTGAATTTGCTTGGTGGTGATGAGAAGTGCTTAAATTGTGAACTATTGTAACTCGAAAAACATAAAGTCAAACACTACATAAATCACAGATGTGCAAAATTTCCAGTATCCATTTTTCCTCAAAAAAATTCTAATTCTAGACTACTGGGATAAATCAGAGATGATCAGTCCTCAACACTGCAAAACAAGAAATCTTTCTCTTCTCAAACATAAGTCATTAATGTTGACTAAAATGTTTTCAGTGAAAAGGCTACTGTACTATTAGTATAACATAAATTCTTTGAACAATCTAATCCCTACAAATGCAGCTTTTCTATGTTTTTTATATTAACCCAGAAGCCAGGGTTTAGATTTATGTGCAAAGTGTACTGAGATGATTTGGAAAAATGGAAGTCGCAAGTCAAAAGTAAGAAGGAAGGAATTGCTTAGAAAGAATGGCATATGGACTTTTCAGGTTCTTTCACTATATGCTTGTGTAGATATTTTTTACTAACTAATTCTTCTCTCAATAGAAAAATCCAAAAGTAAGACAGGTATAGCAAATGCATACTGGGAGTGGTGACTGGGAATGGCTTAGGAATAAATACACTGCTTTGTTTCTTTGATTGTTCCACTGAGCCAAGTTTCTATTATCAATTTTGAGGAAGTGAAAAGCAATAAGGAATTTATATAACACTAAAGCTGTGTTGACGATAATTTAATTTTTCCCTATTCAGAAGTCAATTTATTATGGGGATCACACAATTGGGTTCAACAATCATTAACAGGATTTATACAAGGTATAAAAATTTAACAGAATCTTGATTGAAATTTATCTTAAGTCTGTTCGTATTTATTTTATTTTCATCTTTATTTTCCTATTAGAAACTCTTTTCTCAATGAACACACCAAAAAATGATAATTTGAATTTTTCTGTTGTTTAAATTTCAGATAGACATTTCTGAAACATTCTCGGCATTCATAAGAGATAACAGACATATTTGATTAGAAGAGTTCTGGGAATAACCATTCACAGTAATTTAATTGTTCTATGACAAGTAAAGTCAGCTCAGTGTTTTATAATAAGAGAAGCCAAAAATGGATAATCCAAAACCATTGTTATTTTCCCTGAAATATATTTTATAGTTGGGTTTGAATAAATGCATCTGCTGTTATAATAATTCATTTGAAACAGAACGATGTTAAACTATAAAGACATGACTCAGGAAGGCTTCCTAGTTCCCACCCCAGCTTAGCAGCTCCTTATAAACCTCCACTTACTGGAAAACACCTACGTCTCTAGAACTAGAGCAGTTTCTATATCAAACTTTCTCTGGAGCAGTGCTTCCTCCCAGTGGCTGAGGGTCTGGGTTAAAACAGGACTTTTCCATGTGCAAAGAAAACAAAAACATTAACGTAAGATCAAAGTCTTAATTAAGGTAGTGATAATAGAGTAATAGGTAACATGCCACCAACCTGGATTAAATGGAAGATAAAGACTGAACACCCTGAATTAGATAACCAGCACTCCCAGTTCCAAGTTAGATCACAGTGTTTTGGAGAGCTAGAGACCTAGTTTACAGAGGGTTTTTACTCCATATACTCCAAGTTCCTGGAGGATCCCTCTGCCTGGCATTCTCTTGCCCTCATGGTGACATGGCTTGCTCCCTGACTGCTTTCTGATTGGTGATGCAAGGTCAGTTCTTCAGGTAGACCTCTTCTGGCCACCCTCTCCAAAGAACTGCCATCGCTTTCCATCCATGCACCCACACGCTTTATGTTTTTGTTATAGGTTAGCACTCTCTCACATCCTATTCTATATTTGTTTACGTATTTATTGTATTCCCTCTACCCAGCAAAATAAAAGAACCTAAGTTCCACGAAGACAGGTATTCTGCCTGGTTTACTACTCTATTTCTATCATCTGGAATAGTGCCTGATGCATAGCACTAACCTAATGAATGTTTGCTAAATTAATGCATGAATGGAAGAAAAAAAGATTGGATAAATAACCTATTAAGAAGGGGATGACTTTTTAAAAATAAGCTTCGTATAAAAATGGATCTCATTATATTAAAGGTACTCCATCCTTCAAGTTCAGTTTTTGTTGCTGTCCTTTATACCCTCCAGGTTTTTTCAAAAAACACATATAACTTCATGTTAATTAAAAACATATTTATTAAAAGGAAAAGAAAAATTAATAAAATAGATACCAATGAGAGAAGGGAAAATAATGAAACCTGCCTCTATCAAGGGCATGTCACACTATATGTACTTTACAGGCCGCATACAGCCTTCACCTTGACTGATCCTCACAGCAGAGTGAGGGTTAGAGGACCCACCCACTTTACATAGCCAGAAAGTGGCCAAGTCTCAAATACAGGTCAACTGATGTCACCATGAATCTTTTTTCCCCACACCATGTTGCTTCACTAATAGACTTTATAATTCCAAAAATTTTACACCAGAGCTCAGAAAGCCCATCAAATGTAATTACAGAAAGAAAAAATTCCAATTTTTTTAATCCTTTTTTTGTATTTTTTTAATTTCAAAATATTACAGAGATACAAATGTTTTTGGTTACACGGATCACTTTTGTAATGCTTGAGTCAGGGCTACAAGTGTGCTCATCACCCAGATAGTGTTCATTGCACCCTATAGGTAGGTTTTCATCCATCCCCTCCTTTCCCCTCCCCCATGCTTGATTTCCACTGAGTTTTACTTCCCTCTGTGCACATATGTGCTCGGTGGTTAGTTCCGATTTAATAGTGAGTACATGTGGTGTTTGTTTTTCCATTCTGTAGACAGTTCACTTAGGATAATGGTCTCCAGTTCCATCCAAATTGTTGCAAAAGGCATTAATTTGTCCTTCTTCATGACAGAGTAGCATTCCATGCTATACATATACCACATTTTGTTAATCCCCTCATGAATTGATGGGCACTCGGGTTGATTCCACATCTTTGCTATTGTGAATTGTG